ATTGAACAAAAGGCCTAGTTTATTTTATTTCCATCTAAAAGACTTCTGAGAACACCATGCCATATACCAGTTTCTCTTACCTGTTGATTGAATAAAAAATAACATGATTCATCATTTAAAATTTTGAAAACCATTCAGTAAACAAGAAATTCATTTAGCAGAGTCAAAGGTATATAAAATCTAGACAATCGAAATACAGGAGCTCAAGAGCAGTAATGGTGCCAATCTCCTTCGGAATGCTGCCACTGATATTGTTCCACATAAAGTTCCTGACATCAAAGTGAGGAACTGATATCGAAAATCCCCCAATACATAACACAATATAAGATAAAAAAATCTGTGAAGACTCACAATCTTTTCATATGAACTAGCCGACTCAGGAGCTAATATACCAGAGAGGTTAGTGTGCATCAAACGCCTGCATAACCAGGTGAAGGGAATAAGTTCTTTTTCAAAAGCACCATAAGCTTCCAAGTCCTAGTTGATATTATGCAACTTAAGTGGACGATAAGAAGGTAGCAACCAAATAATCCAAGGAAACTGTTTTCCATCGTATTCAAATGGGTGTAATACTGTCAAAATGTTCTAGGTAAAAGGAAGGTCTAACATTGGAAAGAAGCATTAAATAGTGAAGTACGTACAATTCTTGAATGTGCATATATCCATCACTTGAGTTTGTGTAGCATATCACACCATTCCAATTCAAGGCACACGGGTCTTTTTTCTTATCCCAGTTGCCGAGATTTTTCCAGGGGTCAGTTAGGTGGCTACGAACTGCTAGTAAAGCGGAAACTGGAGTAGTCACAATGATAGATTGAAACACACTTGTTACATAGTTAATACAATATATATGTATGCAGGCAAGATTCTAAAAGCCTACAGAAAAAGTGGATTGATTAGTGAAGACAAGAATAGCAAACAGAAAACCTTCCCGGGGATCTGTGATTTGTTGTCCATAAGCAAGTCGAGCAGAAACACACGATGAAAGAGCAAGAAATATTGCTATGAAATATAATGTTCTCCGAGCCATCTGCAGGTTAAACAACAAGAAGAAGATGCTAAAATGTTTATTCCAACTTCCAACTAAAACATAAATACATAAACTGAGGAAGAATTTGGTCCAAAGCGGTTTACAGGCAAGAAGAAACAACTAAGTGAGGCTAAAGGGATAGGCGAGTAGCTAAAGGGATATTTTATTGTATATGAAAATGAAACTCAAAAAAATTCTGTAAAATTCGAAAAAGTCGAATATCATACTGATTCTGCTGACCTTAGTTTAAATAATATAAAAATAATATCAATTCATGACCGGACTTTTTTTGTCTAATAGCTAAGAGAAAATTATACAACGGTTGAATATTTCGTAACATTTCATCTTTATTTATTTTTTAACAATGTGAAGTCTATTTTCAACGTCTTTAAGTAATTTGGGAGATCTTGCGCTAATTTTTTTTTTTTTTTTTTTTTTTTCCTTTCCATGAGTCGGACATAATGTTGATCTTTCTTTTTATTAAGAAATATAAGATCATTTATTATTTATTAAGGGTAAAATAGTCCTTTTTAGTTTTCTTTATTTAGCCTATATATATTCTCTTTGTATATAGGTTAAACCATCTTTTAGCATTCAATTAAGTACGTATTATCAATGAAACCCTAGCCTCCTCCTTTTTCTTCTTTATTTTCTTTGGATTGTTTAACATGGTATCAGAGCCAGATTCCATGGGACAAAACTTAATCTCAAACACAAAATTATTTCTGGTATTTCTGCAATTTGTTATTTCTGCAATCTGGTATTTTTTTTTCATTATGGCTACTGAAAGAAACGATTCGCTTCAGTCTGTGAGTGTGAGGTTGGATGGAAAGAATTATTCGTATTAGATTTACGTGATGAGAAATTTTCTTAAGGATAAAAAGATGTGGGGATTCATTAGTGGAACTTCTGTGAAACTTGAGAATACCAATAAAGGTTATTTTGCTTTGATAGATGTTTGGGAATCAAACAATTCAAAAATTATTACTTGGATTAACAACTCTGTGGAGCATTCTATAGTTAGAGAGTTGGCGAAGTATAAGACAGCAAAGGAGGTTTGAGATCATCTGCAAAGATTATTCACTCAGTCAAATTTTGCAAAGTAGTATCAATTGGAGAATGATATACGAGTTCTTCATCAGAATAATATGAGTATTCAGGAGTTTTATTCTGCTATGACAAATCTTTGGGATCAATTGGCCCTTACAGAATTGACGAAATTAAAGGCTTGTGCTGCCTATATTACTCGTAGAGAGCAGCAACGGTTGGTACAATTTTTACGGAACTTCAGAGTGATTTTGAAGGACTCAGAGGTTCAATTTTGCATCGTTCTCCACTTCCTTCTATTGACTTAGTTGTCAGCGAGTTATTGGCTGAAGAAATACGTCTTAAGTCTTATACTGAAAATGAAATTCTTTTTGCTTCTAATCCTTCTGTATTAGCAGTGTCTCCTAAGCCATCATCTAATAATCAAAATAAGCCTTACACAAGGGTTGTCTTTGACGAGTGCAGTTTCTGTAAGCATAAAGGTCATTGGAAGGCTCAGTGTTCTAAGTTGAGACAGTCGAATCAATTACAGCAGCAATCTCAAGCTTGGACACCTGGCAACCAATCATGATCTAATGCTCATAGACCACCACAATCTAATACTGCAGCACTAGCTTCATCAGGTCCTTTCACTGATCCTAGTACTTTGGTTGAGCAATTTCAGAAGTTTCTCTCCTTACAGCCTTAAGCTATGTCTGCTTCTTCCATAAGTCAGTTGCCTCATAGTTCTTCAGGTATGTCACATTCTGTATGAGTCTTGGATTCTGGTGCTTCACATCATATGTCTCCAGATTCTTCGTCTTTTGCTTCTGTGTCCCCTTCGTTCTCTATTGTTGTCATGACTGCTGATGGCACTCCTATGCCATTAGCAAGTGTTGGTTCTGTTGTCACACCTCACTTGTCCCTCCCTAATGTTTATCATATTCCGAAACTCACATTAAATCTTGCTTCTGTTGGTCAGTTATGTGATTCTGGTAATTTAGTCACATATTCCTCTTCTTCTTGTTATGTGCAGGATCTGCAGTCTCAGAAGCTGATTGGGACAGGCCGTAGGAAGGGTGGACTATATATTTTGGATGAGCTAAAAGTGCCAGTTGCTGCTGCCGCTACTAGTATTGATTTGTCTTCGTTTCGTTTGAGTCCTTCTTCTAGTTTTTATTTATGGCATTCTCGTCTAGGTCATGTTTCGTCGTCTCGTTTGAGATTTTTAGCTTCTACAGGGGCTTTAGGAAAGTTATACCTTTGTGATATTTCTGATTGTAGTGGATGCAAACTGACAAAATTTTCAACTTTACCTTTTAATCGAAGTATTTCTGTTTCTTCTTCTCCATTTGATTTGATTCATTCTGATATATGGGGGCCTTCTCTTATTGTCACAAAAGGAGGGTCTCGATATTATGTTTCTTTTATTGATGATCGCTCTCGTTATTGTTGGGTTTATTTAATGAAACATCGTTCTGAATTTTTTGAGATATACTTAGTCTTTCCTGCTCTTGTTAAAACTCAACATTCAGCTGTTATCAAATGTTTTAGGTGTGATTTGGGTGGGAAATACACTTCTAATAAATTTTGTGAGCTGCTTGCTTTAGATGGAACTATTCACCAAACTTCGTGTACAGATACTCTTGAGCAAAATGGTATTGCTAACAGAAAATATAGGCACATTGTTGAAACTGCTTGTTCTCTTTTGTTGTCTGCATCTGTCCCTAGTGTGTTTTGGGGTGAAGCTGTTCTTACTACTGTAGGTTTGATTATTACAATTCCATCTTCTCATATTTCAGGGTTTTCTCCTTTCGAAAAGTTGTATGGGTATACCCCTGATTATTCTCTCTTTAGAGTTTTTGGTTGTACTTGTTTCGTTCTTCGTCCTCATGTAGAACGCAGTACGTTGTCATCTCGATCTGCTAATTGTGTCTTTCTTGGTTATGGTGAAGGTAAAAAGGGGTATCATTGTTTTGATCTAATAACTCAGAAACTTTATGTGTCTCGTCATGTTATTTTTCTCGAGCATATACCTTTCTTTTCTATTCCATCCACTACTCATAGTCTGATAGATCTGATCTTATTCGTATAGTCCTTTTTTTAACAATCCTGATAGTTTGTCTTCTCAGGAGCCTGCTACTTCAAATGTTCATTCTCATGTTCCTACCCCATTGTCTTTACAACCAATTCGTACTAATCATTCCGCAGCAACTGACACTTTACTCTTCGACACACATGAAGCGTTCTCTTCTCCTACGGTCCCTCAAGCTCCATCTGAGATTGTGGATCCGCCTCTACGTCAATCCATATGCATTCGTAAGTCTACAAAGTTACCAGATTTTGTTTATTCTTCATCCTTTTCTACCTTTTTAGCTTCTATTCATTGTCTCTCTAAGCTCTCTTCCTATAAAGAGGCAATTCTTGATCCTCTTTGGTAACAAGCTATGGATGAGGATCTTTCTGCTTTGCATAAGACTGGTACTTGGGATTTGGTTACTTTACCTTCTGGTAAGAGTGTTGTTGGTTGTCGTTGGGTGTATAAGATCAAGACTAATTCTGATGGGTCAATTGAGCGATACAAAGTTAGGTTGGTTGCAAAGGGATACTCTCAACAGTATGGTATGGATTATGAGGAGACATTTGCTCCTGTTGCAAAAATGACTACTATTCGTACTCTTATTGTAGTAGCTTCGGTTCGTCAGTGGCGTATCTCTCAACTTGATGTTAAAAATGCCTTCCTGAATGAAGATCTTCAAGAAGAGGTTTATATGGCACCCCCTCCTGGTGTTTCACAAGATTCTGGGTATGTTTGCAAGCTCAAGAAAGCGTTGTATGGTCTCAAACAAGCACCCCGTGCTTGGTTTGAGAAATTTTCTGTTGTGATCTCTTCCATTGGATTTGCTTCTAGTAGTCATGTTTCTGTTCTTTATATGTTGATGACATGATTATTACTGGTGATGATATTGATGGTATTTCAGTTTTGAAGACAGAGTTAGCTAGACAGTTTGAAATGAAAGATTTGGGTTCTCTACGATATTTCTTGGGTATTGAGGTAGCCTTCTCACCGTATTGAGGTAGCCTTCTCACCCAGAGGTTATCTTCTTTCTCAGTCGAAATATGTTGCAGATATTCTTGAGTGGGCAAGACTTACTGATAATAAGATTATTGATACTCCAATTGAGGTTAACGCGAAGTATTCTTCTTCTGACGATTTACCTTTGTCAGATCCTACTTTATACCGTACTATTGTTGGGAGCTTGGTATATCTCACTATTACTCGTCCAGATATTGCATATGCTGTTCATATTGTTAGTCAGTTTGTTTCTTCTCCCACTTCAGTTCATTGGGTAGCTGTTCTTCGCATTTTGCGATATCTTTGGGGTACAGTCTTTCAGAGTCTGTTACTTACATCCACCTCCTCCTTGGAGCTACGTGCATACTCTGATACTGATCATGGCAGTGATCCCACAGATCGCAAGTCTGTTACTGGTTCTGTATCTTTTTGGGTGATTCTCTTATTTCTTGGAAAAGCAAGAAACAATCTATTATTTCTCAATCTTTCACCGAAGCAGAATATCGTGCTATGGCATCTACTACTAAAGAGATTGTTTGGTTACGTTGGTTACTTGCAGATATGAGAGTTTTTCTTTCTCATCCCACTCCTATGTATTGCGATAACCAAAGTTCTATTCAGATTGCTCACAACTCGATTTTTCATGAACGAACTAAGCACATTGAGATCGATTGTCATCTTACTCGTCATCATCTCAAGCATGACACAATTATTTTGCTCTTTGTTTCTTTTTCTTTGCAGTTCGCAGATTTTTTTTACCAAGTTGCATTCTATTTCTCATTTTCGTTTTCTAGTTGGCAAACTCTTGATGCTTGTAGCTGCCGTATCGTGAGTTTGAGGGGAGATGTTAAGAAGTATATGATTATTTATTATTTATTAAGGGTAGAATAGTCCTTTTTAGTTTTCTTTGTTTAGCCTATATATATTCTCTTTGTATTTAGGTTAAACTATCTTTTAGTATTCAATTAATTATGTAGTATCAGTGAAGCCCCAGCCTCCTCCTTTTTCTTCTTTATTTTCTTTGGATTGTTTAACACTTTTAACACTCATATTCATCACAATTTAAATTATAGTGATTACGTTGATATCATATCAGCAGAAATCAGACAAAAAAACGTGCTAGAAATTTCGGACGGGGTATTCTGAAAGTGAGTTCAATTAAAAAATTTGAATGTTGTACATTCATTTATTCCAAATCCTGAGATCTCATGTTATAAAAAACCATAAGGTTAACACCTTTGTAACTGCAGTTGGAGGAGAGAGAGAACGAGTCATCTCGACCTCATCCTAATACAGAAAACTACGCTTATTTATTGCAAATAATTTCGTCAACCACTCACTTCACCAGCTTCTTGCGAATCTTCATGGAGCACGAAGATCTATAAAAACTGCCAAGGATAAAAAAACTATGCTTCAAGTTTCTCTTTCTATTTGTGGGGCATGTTCCTTTTAATGTTTTGTAGTGGCTGGATTAGGGGGATAGGGCAGAATGGAGGGAAGAAGTAAACTCGTCCCAGAGTAAAGAAAGGAAACCGGATAACTAGGCGTCCTAGAGAACATTGAACAAAATTACTCTGTTCTCTGATTTTGATCGTTTAAATACATTGTAGAAGCATAAATTCATACCTCAGGAAGTTTCTGCCGAAATACAACATCAAGTCGAGCATTCATTGTGTCTCACATACAATGTTCCCATCTTGTGAAGCCAAAACCACGCCTCCTATATATTTAAAGCCATAAATGTACAAGTAATAAGGAAGGAAAGAAAAATTAAACGAGCTATAGAAATAAACTATATATTCTACAAATGAAGGTAGAATACTCTCTAGAACACTAGGATTTAGCAATAGCAAACAGATTAAGAAAGAGATAGAAATATTTCTCCCAGAAGGAGCATAAGAGTCGGCACCACTGTGGTGGTGGAAGATAGACATGATTGTCAATGGTAATAGAAGGTGCTTTCACTTCAGCTTTCTCAGCATATTACTTCTTTGCATCTTCCAGGTATGTGCATGAATTTAATCAAAACAGAGCAAGTGAAAGTGAGATGATAATTTAGTTGAATGCTGATACCGTGTCTTTGAAATGAATTTCAGTCTTTGGTTGATTGCTTGACTTTTCAATATATTGTATCTATTTGTATTGTCAAATGCTATTTCTTAATAAAATTCTACACTATTAAACTTGCACCAACAGGTAGAAATAAAGAACTTGAATTCGTTGTCATCAGTGAGTAGGGCTATTGATTTTGAGACATCAAGACTGGTGCTCTTCATAGTCAAGATCAGCCTGATCAAATTGTACAAGAAACCTGTCACTGGGAAGGAGGCGCCCAGGTTATATCATTTTGTTCTCACTGAGCTCGAATCGAGTATTATTGCAAATCACCTCATTGTGCTTTAATAATTTTTCTTCTTTGAGCTCGAATCGAGTACTACTACAAATTGGTGATTGCCAATTCTTTATGAAAAATAGAGAGACAGTGGTTTGGTTGTTTATAATGAGGATTTTTGGCTTCCACTTCAAAATGGTTGTACAAAAGTCACCTATTTGGATTTCGCGAACTGCAAAATAACAGATTTTATTTCAATTTAAGGTTATAATTTATTGTAATTTTTATTTATTATTTATTTTTTTGATTTTTTTTTTTGGGATATTGATTAAGAAACAATATGAAAACTAGTAAAATCTTAAGGTTTCACTATATGAAAAGAAGAATTTCGGTGAGATTGTATGATATGAATGAGTAATTATGAACTTGAATGGAGAGATTATGGAAATGATATAAATTTCAGGATTTGAAAGAGGAAAAGAGATCTGGGGGCGAGACTGTGATTTTATGCACTAGTGTCGTGATTTTATTAATTATATAAGAGGCAGGTGTTGAAGAGAGGTGATAAATGATTTATCATTTATACAATTTTTTCCCCCAGTATTTGTAGAATATAAAAGTTAAAAGGTGAAAATGGTAAACTTTTGATAAAATGTGTGTTGTATAATGCACTATTTGTTCATGCATCCTATACATTCTTTCAAGAAAATAATTTTCCACGAAAATTAAAAATCTTTACTTGTTATAAATGGTAAGTTTATTGGGGTTTATTAGTGAATGACAATTGTACCCCTATAGTCCTAGAAATTATTATCGTTATATCCATGATTCTGCCATATAAATATAGGGATTTTGGTTCTTAATAAAATACATACAATCTATTGACGTCTTCCTATTTTCTTCTCTTTTCATAACACGTTGTAAGTACGATAGCTTAATTTTTTAAAGTTTAATAAATGTAGTAATTTTTTTTATAAGTATAAATATTTATTACATGTACCAAAATTAATTTCGTGGCAAGTGAATTTTTTCGATGTACATATACATCATAATCGAGTTGTTTATTCTCCCCGGCTTTTCATTTGTATGCATATTAATTTTAATTCACGTTTGTATGTATAATTTGCACACATATTATTTCATGTCTTTTGATTCATACACAATCAATTTTGTCACATATTATTCACATATTTATTCTGTCTTTTGAATCTGCCACATATTAGGTCTACCTTTGATTTTTTTAAATGTGGAATTCATGTGAATGTTTAGTATCTTTTGCATATTGGTAAAAGATTTAGCGGATTATGTTAACTTCAACGTATGAAGATTTTTTTCCTAATGCATGTTTGGAAATTAATTTTCTATATAATTTCAAATTGTGTCATAATGTAATTAAATATTTTTAGATATTCTATAAACTTTAAATTAATAATTTATCATGTTGTTGTTTCAAAAGCAGCACAACATTATAATTAATATTTTAAAAGAATATTAATTGTATATTTTTTTGTTATAAATAGCTTGTTGTTGCACCTGACGTAACACAACATTATTAATATTTTAGAAGAATATTACTTAATTATGAAGAGCATCATATTTAAATTTCAGTATTCCAGAATAATAGTGACTTAGTACTCCTAAAGAGATATAATTTAAATTATGTTTATTTTTAAAGAATGTGGTGTTGATGTTCTCAAAGAAACACAACCCACGTTATTTAAATATTCCAGAAGAATATTTCATTGTTACTCATATAGAATACAAATTTTAATATTATATTGTTTAGCTCAAAAAGGTAGAACAAATCATTAATATCAATATTCCAAAAAAATATTTTATTTTTACTCTTGAAAATTATATATCTGTTTGTCCTCTTGAAAACATCACAATTTAATATGAAAAATTGTTAACCTTTCCTGGAGAAACATAACATTATTAGTATTTTAAATCACACACACACACACACACACACACACACACACAGATATATATATATATATATATATATATATATATATATTAATTTCAATATTCTTGAAATATATTGATTAATTCTATGTAAAATCACGAATTAAATTACTCTATTTATTTATATGTCAGTTTTTCTGCCTACATATTTAAATATTGATGTTCTGGTTAAATTATATTGCTCCTGAAGAGTATAATGATATAAAATCTAACACAAAATTAAGTTTTTACTCTTAAAGGTAAATTCTTACATAATTTATCACTGTAAACAATAATAGGTTATTACTCCTAAAGAGCATAACATTAAAATTCTACATATTTTAGAAGAATATTGATTTATTGTTTTTGAAAAAGTAATAGTAAAATATAATGTGATCTCGAAATGGCACATTATAATTTTCATTAATATTGTAGTTAGATTTTATTTTGCCCTTGAAGAGTATAATTACATACAGTCTAAAATAAATTATATTTTTTACTCTTGAAGAGTGAATTCTTGTATAATTTATTATAATAATATTTGATTGTTCTTAAAGAGTTTGAATTATAATTTTCAATATTTCAGAAGAATATTGACATATTAATGTTGAAAAAGCAATAATAAAATATAGATGCTCTCGAAGTAGCATACATCTTGAAGAATTATACTTCATTGTGTTTCTAAAAAATTCAAAATGGAAATTCAATGAAGAGCCAGAAGATTCTTCACTCCAATGAATTCCAATATATTATTTATTCTCTTTTATCGATAATTGATCATTAAACATCGCTAACTAAAATAGGGATTGAATTCCTTATATTTCTGAAAATCAATTATAGTGATATGTGGGGCCCCGTCACCTACCACGTTGACCATCTAAATAATATTTGATAAAAATACTATATGATTGCATGGCATTTGCAACCTGAAATTTGCGAAATTATTGCTCAAATTATGGGCATAATTTTCTTATTATATAATCAAGATCGTGTCCTGTTAATGCTAGCGGGTATAAATCTCAACATTTTAATAAATATTAGTTGAGATGTCGATAAATAATTTAACACTATCATTTGTTAAATATCTCCAATTAATTTAATTAAGAACAAAGTATTTCCCACTTTTGTGTTAGGGAATCATGTTACGCATCATACCAATATCATAGTTTTTTTGTTATAATTGACTTATGGTATTATAACCTATTAAACTCTAACGAGCGATTCGATTCGATTAAAACTCAATAAATGAGCTTTCGAATTTCAAGATTGATCTACTCAAACGAGCCACCATCTTGTAGGTGTATGTTAAGGAATATAATCCCACATCGAATAAAGATAAAAATGCATACCAACTTATAAGGTCTTGAGCTACTCTTCTTAACAAGGTTGACCTTTTAAGATGGAACCACATTGCACCAAAATAAAAAGTAAAGAATATTGGGAATAAATGCAAAGTTTGAATTCTTATCCCAAATGGGTGATATTTTATAACGCTGAAAAAACAATTGTCAATTTGATTAGAAATTTCTCTCAGCATTAAATTGAAGAATTAAGAACTTGAAAATAATGTATAAATGTAGCGTCATCTAAATTCTCGTAAAATATCATTTGAATTAGAAGTTCAAATGATAATTTATTCAAATCAATTTACAGATCAAAGAGATAAACAATATCTCACACACCAATTTTAAATGCTCCAATGCGAATTAATGTCCTGTAAGGATAATTTGTTAGCACTATATTTGATATATCTATGACACGCCTGAAGCGTGATGGTGTTCGGATCTAATACAAAAAATCTTCAAACGAAAATGGAGCAATTAATAAAAATGGTCTCATTAAGGAGACATATATTCTTGATGAATATTTAGATTTAATGAATTATAAAACCCCAGAATAGGTTTAGAAATATGATATGTTGAAAATTGAGATATCTAAATAAGTTATGTCGTTATGGAGTAAGAAATAGAATTGAAAAAAGAAAAAAGTTGTCGACAATAATTTTATAAATGATGTACAATATCATAAGTGAATTGCGAGGAATCGAAATAAATGTGTAGAAACATATCGCTCAAAGTAATGTTTGGCCAAATAAAAGGGACGCAATCTTAAATTAAATTTACTAAAAAACATGAAATTTTTAGACTTGTAGTCCGAAAATCTAAAGGTACATAATTATGAGAAAATGAAATGAGAAAAATGAAGCTGTAATGTGCCATGCACGACTCTCAACATTCTAAATTTTGCAAAGATCGTTATAGATGA